AATTCAACTGTAAACCTAAAAATTTACAGCCAATTTTGAAAGAGATGCATCTTAGCTCTGGAAATTGTTATTGAATATGTCAATGCTGGTGTAATGAAATGCTTCTTCTAAGTATGTGGCTATTAAATAATAATTAAAAATAAAGTTAATTTTAAAAAAAGAATCTTCCAAAAAACCCAAAAATTTGTCAAAAAAGAAATCAAAACTAAAATAGAGAAAAATATCTTGAAAAATGAATACCACAGTTACTGAGTGGAACATCTGTTTGCAATTCCCTTGCCTGCAATAAACTATTGTTAAATATCCTAAGTCCTGCCCTAAGTATCTGCCTCTGCAAGCATACCTGCAGAAGGAATTTCCCCTCGGTGGTCTTAAGGGATGAAAGCGCTTGTGCTGGTATTCACATAGGTTGTAACTTAAATCTACTAGTGTTACAACAGTTAAAGAATAATGTGGGGTGACTTATAAGAACTATGAAGGAGCTAAACTCAGGGCATGAGTTATTTTTAGGAGGAAATTCTGCTCGAATCTGTTGGCATAAATAAACTTTCGAGATTTCTCCACGTGATTCTCTTGGGTGACTTCTCTGTGTATGCAGGAGCCCTGTGCGTCAGTTTCCCGTAACAGAATCAGTGATCATTATAGCTTGGGATGAGGCCTCTGGCACAAAGCTCAGCAGGCTGCAGGAACTCAGGATTTGCTCCACCAATGTGGAAGACAGGGAGGGCTTCTCAGAAAGGGTGACTCCAGAGCCAGTGAGGAACTTGATAATCAGACAAGTAATGGACTCAGGACCAAGACCTCTCCTTTGACAAAGCAGGAGATATAAGTCCAGAGAGCCAGTAAACCACATATATTGAATGCCTACTGTATACCAGACACAGAGAAACAAACTCATTTCAGAGAAAAAGGACTGTGCAATGGTGAGACTTGAGCCTGGGTCTCTGGTCTGCCTGTCCGAATCCCTAACCACTCCCTTGAGGCAAACATGTCCAATCTGGAGGGTAGAATGCTGATTGTGGCCAAGAGTTTTGGAAGGCCAAAACTTAAAGAAAGCATGACACCCATGAATATTGAATTCATCCCACAAGGGTCCTCTACTTGGGAATTCCATGTTGAATGCTAAGAAGAGGTTAACTTCAAAGGATAGGCTCCCCAAACCTGGCATGGTAGCACATGTCTGTAATCCCAACACATGGAGGCAGGAGGCTCAGGAGTACAAAGTCATCCTCTGCTGTGGGGAGCCGCCTGCCGTCCCTGCAGACGCCATTACAAGATGGCGCTCACATCCGGTTCATGCTGAGCAGTAAATAAGTCAGTACGCATGCCCGAAGTAATTTTCCACCTTCTAGTCTCTGCCTACCTCATGGCGTGATATGGGCTGATGAGTTTGCAACCAATCAAGAGTTGCCACGTCCAAGACGGGCTTACTAACCTATATAAGGGCTGGGTGTCCGACATTCGGGGTCTTCGCCCTGTAAGCTTATGCTCTCCCTCTCAAGATGCATTAAAGCTTTTCTGCAGAAGGATCCTGAGTGTGCCGCGTCGTTCTTGCTGGCGAGACGATAGCGCAGGACAACTGGTGCTGAGACCCGGGAATTCGACCAAACCATCATCAGCACCATCGGAGACCCCTTGAGTTCAAGGAGGATTCAGAACTGCAGGTAAGGACGTTCAGAGAGGTATGTTTTTTCTGGACTTTGGCTTGAACCTGTTTCCGCTTTGGAAAGGTAGCTTTGAGGCCTTGGTTATCATTCTGGGAGCACTTATAGTTTTGTTGTATAAAACATGCCAGGCCGTTGTGGCGGAAAGTCGAAATGTTCTTGAGGAAGTCCAGGATAGCATGTCAGAAACTGAACGCAGTGAGAGGTTAGGTGCACGAAAAAAGAAACGGGCCCCAAATAAGGAAAATGGCCCTCCCGGAAGGTCTGTTGACAAGGGAGCGTATTTTAAAGAGCCTAGAGATTCTTTGCCTGTCAAGAGGCCGGACAAAGGGACTAGTATATACCCCATCCGAGAACTAAAGGCTCTGCAATTAAGTAGTTCAGGAAGCCCCGGGAGCTCTGAGGACGAGAGCCTTGACCCGGAGGAGGAGGCGGAGCTAGATGAGGAAGTAGCGAAGTATGAGGAAGAAAGATATCATCCAGTCCTCCCTTTACCTGTCAACCTATGGGGACGGGATGTTATGCACGACCTCGGGCTTACTCTGTCCAATGAATATTCACCACA